TAATGGGTGCTCTAAACATGGAGAAGTAGAATGAACCCATGCTACCAAGGACTGCTTTACATAGGGTTAGACACCCCCGAATGATTTCGAGTAATATATGATGCATAAAAATGGAATTAACAAGTAGGTGTTGAGATTTCGTTTTTTGCATCAAAGGTGGTTAATTGGTGTTGTATTTCTAGTTTGTAAGGTAAGTGGTTGGCATTGAAATTGAATCTGATCTTGTAATTGAACCTTAGTGCTAACACTAACCGTCCAAAACTACCTCAAACAACTTAAAAGTATCATTTGTACATGATGTTTATTGTTTTGGAATAAACTAATACTATATATGTACTGCTATATATTTTTCGTTTCTTTTTTATTTCTTTCAAACTTAAACACAAATCTAGTTAAGGACTTCCAGTCACTACCTAAACTCGAAGTTACCAGTTTTCCTTGCATTATATATACTCGAACAAATTTCTAGATACATAGGCTGATAGGCACTTTACGGTTAGAATAAGTAAACTTTATACTTCTTTTTTCTTTCATTTTAAAAAAGTTATTATATCTTATTACTTGTATCCTCTTTCTTTGCCTTTTTTTTATCTCCAAACCCAGAAATGGAATATAAGTTACAGTACAGTGATTGAGATGATGTTTATGGCGGGTAGTTGGAAAGAAACAATGACAAGTACCATGACTAACGCACAAAAGCCTATGATCAACTATTTGAATCGACTATATGCCCTTTATATATCTTGTACGTATTATCGCATATGATATTACGAAGTTGACTGGTCACCAAACTTGGATTGGATGATATTTATTTGATTTGTTTTGTTGTTGTTTTCAAATAGTAACATATGAAAAGGTGAAAAACAAAACAACCTGGGTAAACAGACATAGACAGACAAAGTGAAAAAGGAAAGATAAAGAGGAGTTATTAAGTGGTCAAAATCAGATGTTTTGTGGGGTTTAGTGCGCATGCAAAAGCACCACTGCATGTTTTGACACTTCCCACACCAGACTAATTAATCAGCTTTCATGCCTGTAGCTACTTCAAGAACCTTAAAGATCATTACTTCCTAAGCAAAAGTTTATATTTTTATGTTCTGGTCGGATGGTCTTTTTATTTGTTAATACAAAGAACGGTTGAAAATAGTATAAAACTACGCATGTTTATTCTATTTCGTTGTTTATGTATACCGTATTAAATATGAGATTTCCATAATCGTACTCTATCTTAAGAAATGAATCTTAGTTCTTTTAAGTTAATCTCGATTTTTTTTTTAAATGAATTTACCATAAAAATACTGTATAGATGACCGTTTGTAACCTAAAATAATAAAATGTTTTAGGAACTGAATTCTAAGTCTTGTGGGGGTTGGGATCCTTTTGGGTTTTGAAGCGGGTAATATGAACGTCAGGCCCATAGACAAAGAAAGACTCAAAGAGTCGAAGTTAAAGACATTGATAATTAAAAGAGTTATTGTCGGTATAGCACAAAGTATAATGGTTTAAATAGTCATTTTTATTTTTTTTCTTGGGAAAATGATTTATATGGGTAAGTATGTTTCAAAATCGTTCAAAAAATACAATTCAAGTTTGGTGTGTAAAAAAAATACAATCCAAGTAAAGCATTTCTATAAAAAAATCAGCGAAGTACATTCTTTGTTAAAATTTGACCTTTGGTTACCAACAATTACCGGTAAAAAATAAGTAAAGGAAAAAAAATAATAGGAAATGACTCAAAGAGGTAACTATGTTTCAAAATCGTTCAAAAAACACCATCCAAGTTTGTATGTTCAAAAACATCATCCAAGTTTGATATGTTTTAAAATCGTTCAAAAAACACCATCCAAGAGGTAACTATGATTGCTCATTAGAATAACGAGTTGTTACAATAATTACATCACGTAAACCCTAGTATACAAGGGTTAACTGAGTTGAGCGGTTTGACTTGTTGACTTTGTTTGACTTTGACTTGACGAGAATTTGACTGTTGTCACAGTCTTTACCTAGGACTATCATGGGCTACCCCACAAGGTCTTACATCCAATGCTATGGGCTACCCCACATGGTCTTTACCTAGGAATGTCAGGGGCTACAACAAATGGTCTTATATCTAATACCACGTGCTCCCCCCGGGGTCTTCCATACCAACATAATATCACATAACATATCAATTCATAAACGAATAACACACACATAACATGATCACATAATGGGCCGCCCTTGGTGCCGTAGACCCATAGGTATGGTGAGAAGACTCACCTCCGTCCGATGAATACGAATACTGTCCTCCTAAAAATCCGCAACCTCCTGAGCTGAACAATAACAATAATAATATAGTCAATGATAAGACCTTAAATTATTCGAGGAAAGGCCCAACCTTCCATTTCTTCCCCTAAGGCCCAGTTACGCTTTCCTTACAAATGCACCCCAAAGTCCAAGTCTATCATCCTTAATGGGTCCCTTGGCCCAATAAGGCCCAACCGGTAAATCCACAACCCAAACAGATGAAAAGGCCTCTAACTCTCAGAATTCAATCAAGCCCAACAACCAAATGAGGCCTAAAGGCCTAAAACATATTAGGGACCAACTGAGTTACGTACGCCCAGCGTACCACCCTGGTACACATAGCGTAATGAAGGCTTAGGGACTACGCGCCGGGTACAGCCAGTTATGCCCGATGTATAACCATTTTAAGCACTTTTTCCATTAAGTGCTTAATGCTCAAATCTTTCACGTCTAAAAGCTATATCTAAGTCTAACAAGATGTCCTAAGGCATAAAGTTGGCAACTTTATGCCCTTGCATGTCTCATACACACCCAACTACTCCATTAAGACATTTCCAAGGTCTTTTACCCATTCATGAGGTCAAATCTCTCATCAAGCTTTCATTTTTATTCTTCTACATGACTAGGGCATAAAAATGAAAGCTTGATGAGAGATTTGACCTCATGAATGGGTAAAAGACCTTGGAAATGTCTTAATGGAGTAGTTGGGTGTGTATGAGACATGCAAGGGCATAAAGTTGCCAACTTTATGTCTTAGGACATCTTGTTAGACTTAGATCTAGCTTTTAGATGTGAAAGATTTAAGCATTAAGCACTTAATGGAAAAAGTTCTTAAAATGGTTATACGCCAGGTATAACTGACTGTACGCGACGCGTAGTCCCTAAGCCTTCATTACGCTATGTGTACCAAGGTGGTACGTTGGGCGTACGTAACTCAGTTGGGCCCCAATATGTTTTAGGCCTTTAGGCCTCATTTGGTTGTTAGGCTTGATTGAATTCTGAGAGTTAGAGGCCTTTTCATCTGTTTGGGCTGTGGATTTACCGGTTGGGCCTTATTGGGCCAAGGGGCCCATTAAGGATGATGGACTTGGACTTTGGGGTGCATTTGTAAGGAAAGTGTAATTGGGCCTTAGGGGTAGAAATGGAAGGTTGGGCCTTTCCTGGAATAATCTAAGGTCTTATCATTGACTATATTATTATTGTTCTTGTTCAGCTCAGGAGGTTGCGGATTTTTAGGAGGACAATATTCGTATTCATCGGACGGAGGTGAGTCTTCTCACCATACCTATGGGTCTACGGCACCAAGGGCGGCCCATTATGTGATCATGTTATGTGTGTGTTATTCATTTATGAATTGATATGTTATGTGATATTATGTTGGTATGGAAGACCCCGGGGGGAGCACGTGGTATTGGATATAAGACCATTTGGGGTAGCCCGTGGTATTCCTAGGTAAAGACCATGTGGGGTAGCCCATAGCATTGGATGTAAGACCTTGTGGGGTAGCCCATGACAATCCTAGGTAAAGACTGTGATAACTGTCAAATTCTGGTCAAGTCAAAGTCAAAAAGTCAAACCGGTCAACTCAGTTAACCCTTGTATATTAGGGTTTACGTGATGTAATTACTGTAACAACTCGTTATTCTAATGAGCAATCATAGTTACCTCTTGGATGGTGTTTTTTGAACGATTTTGAAACATACCAAACTTGGATGGTGTTTTTTGAACATACCAAACTTGGATGGTGTTTTTTGAACGATTTTGAAACATAGTTACCTCTTTGAGTCATTTCCTATTGTTTTTTTTCCTTTACTTATTTTTTACCGGTAATTGTCGGTTACCAAAGGTTAAATTTTAACAAAGAATGTACTTCACTAATGGTTTTTTTTTTTTTTTTTTTTAATTTATTTATTTATAGAAATGCTTTACTTGGATGGTGTTTTTTGGACACACCAAACTTGAATGATATTTTTTGAACGATTTTGAAACATAGTTACCCATATAAGTCATTTTCCCTTTTTTTCTTTTTTTCCTTTAAAGAGTACAAACTTGTATTTTACCGGTTATTTTGGTACTTTTACCCACATAAGAATGTAACACTGCTTTGTGAAGCGTCAAGTAAGCATGTGAGTTAACATTGACTTATAAACTTATAACTTTGGTTTTATTTCATTTGTTTCAAACTCCATAACAATAGAATGCTTCACCAGGGTTATGATTGCGCAAACTTAAGCTTCACTGTCATAATGTGTAAACAACAAAGAGGCCTGAAAGCTGAGTTCCACCGCCCATTCCAACCACCAATGTCACCCAGTTCATGTTCACCCCCTCTATAAATGTGCTTAGGTTTCAATCTTGTGGAAGTGGAAATAATCTTCAAACCCGCTCTTTCTTGTGATTCCATGATTTGTTTCTAATCTCTTTAATCGAAAAAATAAAAGTAAATAACTATCTCAGAGTAGCAGAAAGGAGTTGTTTAGGAAGGCGAAGTCAATCCGAATAAAGAGCCACCACGACAAGTACATCTTGGATGAGAGCGACGTCGAAAGTGTGCTACAATATCGCAATGAAACAACAAAGAAAGGCATTTAGATGGTTGAATTTGTTGAAGGCTTCGACAATGTCATCCGATTGAAGTCCAATTACGGGAAGTATCTCACCGCATCTGAAGATCAACTAATCATCATTTCACTGGTGAGAAAGTCGTTTAAAGTATGCGCCAGAGGCTGGACTCCTCAATCGAATTGGAGCCAATACGAGAAGGGTTTCAAGTTCGTCTCAAAAACCGTTATGGAAATTATCTACGAGCTAATGGTGGATTGCCTCCATGGAGAAATTCGGTTACTCATGACATTCCTTACAGACATTACGATTGGATATTGTGGGATGTTGAAACTATGGAAGCTAGACCAGAGAAACCATTGTCGTCGTCACTGTTATCTGAAATGATAAACCCATATCTAAATTTGTCCTCCTTTTCTCTTAGAAGCTCCATATCTGGCCCTACCGAGGTTCGTTCAAATCGTCATTCATTGCTACACATTTGGATTTGCGATTTTGCCTCACTTGTTATGATACACACCACATGTTTATGGAAATGAAGGGACATGATCCACCAGCTGCAAAGAAAGTATGGATGATGGTGTATTACACGATGGTGGATGATGATGGGAACGTGATGATGGTTATAAAGAAACATCGTTTGCATTCAAGGGGCATGGATTGGAGGATTTGAATATGAATTTGGAAGAACAAACATGGATAGATGATATAATCGTGTGATCTAGAAATCTATTGAATGTAAAAGTTTTACCACTCCGGTTAGCGTTGCCACCCAAACAACTCCGATTGTAGCTTGGCCACAACAACAATGGCGGTTTCCGACGACGCTTCAAGAAACACAACAACGACCACAGTCTGCGGTAGAGATGGATGAAGACAAGGAAGAAGAAGGTGGTGGGTTCGAGATTGTTGCCAACAAGATATCTTTAGTGGTGGCTATTATCTAGAGAGAGAGAGAGAGAGAGAGAGAGAGAAAGATGAGGTGGATTAGTTACATGACATTTGCAAAATGAGGATTAGGATGGGGTCACTGGGTGACCCCTTCAAAATTTTCAAAATGAATTTTTAAAACTTAGAAATACAAGTTGGTGCCCTTTAAATGAAAAAAATTAATCATGAGGGACCATTTAAACCAATATACTAAAGTTTGTTAGGATACAATGATAATTACCATATTTTAAACTATAGATATAAATCCTAACAAATTTCAGAGAAACAAAATATTATATAACACAACAAAATGGTGGAATGAACCACACAAATTTAACACTTAGGCATGTCGGAGGATTTAAGTATTTCCCCTAACAACATATTTAATACAAGACAAAAAATGGTAAACTATATTATCTGACGCCGTCACAGGGTGGTAAATTTAGATGTACTAATAATATTTTGGATATTGGGAGACACATATGGAGCCCGGGGTACCAAACCACTGCTCCGATTTATGCCGTAAGTGTATTTTTTTTTTATATAAGTGCAACATCTATAAATATTAGTGTCATATGTGCAACTACTATTTTAGAGGTACCCAAACAAAATATGACATGGTATAACTAATACTAGCCCAAAACAACAAAAAAAAAAAAAAGCCTAAAAAAATAAATAAAACATCCGCCCAAAAAGTTATATTCATTAAACCCACTACCCAAATGACATGGTATAACTAATACTAGCCCAAAACAATAAAAAAAATAGCCTAAAAAAATAAATAAAACATCCGCCCACCAAGTTATATTCATTAAACTCACTACCCAATTCCCCTTGTCTATGACCAACTGAAGCCTGAAGCAGAAAGCTCGAAAGAAAAAAATCCCCTTTGCTCTCTGTGAAGCTACAATTCAAGCAAGAAGGCAAAATGAAAAATCCGTTTTCTACTCCAACTCTCTAAGTGAACGATTTTGCTCTAACTCTGCAAGCTATTTCGATTTTGTTTGGCTCTCGTCAAAGCTACAATGAAACAAGTAAGTATTTATATTTTTAGGTTTATGAAATTATTCAAATTATTTGTTTTTTCTTGAAACTTCTTATTGTCTAGGTGAAATTAGTAGATGTTTACCTTGAAATTAGTTGTTGAATTGTTGTTAGATACTTAGATTTTTAGATAAACGGATTACTTGCTTGTTTGATATTAAATTGTTAGGATAAAATTGGGTCCTTTTTTGGAAGAACAAACATCAATAAATCAAGTGTTAGAGAATCCTCCAAAAGATCATGCTCCAATGATTTAAATTTTGAAGGATTCTCTAAAAGACCATGTCCTTCTAATCAATCATTCCGTTCAGTTTCTAATGTAAATTCATAACCTACAGCTGCTCCAATTATAAGTGTTGAATTGAAAGATCTTCCAAGAGACCTGGGTGTCAGACGAAAGACTACAACTTACAATCCAAATCAAAGAGATAAAATAAAGAGGATATATTTACTTCAAGAACCTTGTCAACCAAGGGGTCATACCCATCAAAAAAAATAAGTACAAAAAAAGATGTTTATTAAGTGATTTGACGACTTTGATTGGTTAGATTAAAGCATAAAAGAGAACAAAGTTTTTGCATATTTTGCTATGTATGTGGAGACATGGTGGGAAAACAAAAAGGGAGAGATGCATTTGTTTCATAAGGTTTTGATAACTGGAATAAAAAATAATTCATTGAGAGACCATATGGGTGGTATTGACAGTTTTCATCACAAAGCAAGAAAAAATTGTGAATTTTTATTGAAAGAAAAGCAATCTATTAGTGTAGTCTTCAAGAAGCAAACCAAAATATAGGAGAGTAACTATAAATTTCGTTTAGGTTCTTCATTTTGGTGTTGTAAATTTTTATTGAAAAATGGTTTACCATTTCGGGGACATGATGAGTTGAGTAACTTCCTTAATAGAGGGATTTTCTTTGTTATTATCTTTCATGAAGATCATAATGAAGGCATTCACAATGTTACTTAAAAAATACTCCTCAAAATAATCACGTGGCGTTTCCGATTACTCAAAAGCAAATTGTTGAATGTTGAATGCTTTTCAAGTGAGATAATTTTAGGTATTCACAAAGAAATTGGTAATCATGTGTTTGCTTTATTTGTTGATAAATCTAGTGATGTATCAAAAAAAAAAAAAAGAACATAGTTTTGAGATATGTCGACAACATTTGAATGGTGAAGGAAAGATCCATTAGAGTTGTGCACGTGAATGATAAATCCTCTTTGACTTTTAAAGCGGTCGAAGATGAAGTTTTGACTCTTTGACTCTTCAACATAGTTATGGATATGCAAATTATAGAATTCGGGGAATGATTTACTGAGCTTAATCGCCCAATTACTAGAATACATGGGGGATTTGAGTCCTTGTGATTCATTTGCTAAATTTGACAAAACAAAGTTGTTAAAGTCGAGTGAGTTGTACAAAATTTTTGATGATGCAGAGAGGATGCAACTAAATGGTGAACTTGAGATATATTATCATGTTTTGCATAAAGATGACCGATTTATTAGTTTGCAAGGAATTTCTGATTTTTATCGTTTGATGGTGGAAACAAGGAAATATCAGTCTTATCCTATAGTTTATTGGTTGTTGAAGTTGGTTTTTGTTTTACCCGTCGCGATCGGAACAGTCGAAAAATGTTTTTCTGTGATGAAGTTTTTTAAGATGAATTTGCATAACAAAATAGGTGATGATTTTTTGAACGATGTCATGATTTCTTATGTTGAAAAAAAGTCCTTACGAAAGTGAAGTTCGCAGATGTGATGAAGACGTAAATGGTCGGTTTCAAAAAATTTGTACCCACAGATGTCAAATTTAAATATTAAGATGTACTCGATTGGTTTAATATACTAGTCTACCCTAATAAATAAAGATAATTTTGTCCAATGTCAACTTCTTATTGAATTTGACACATGTCATTTTCTTATAATTTTAAAATTATTTTTTTCCACTTGTTATTTTTTTATTTTTTTCATTTTTTATTCAATTCCACATATTAAATGCCACCTTATAGTAATTAATTTGAATTAATGTATATAGTAAACCTTCCATTAGTGAATTCTTATTTCTATTAATATATTAATAAATTTTATTTGTAAATTTATATTAATTAGTTTTATTATTATAAATAATTAAGACAAATTACGTAAATGATCCTTGTGGTTTATTCTATTTATTGTATTCATTTTGAATGTTTATTTTAAAAAATACTTAATTTTTACACTTTCATATTCAACACGATTATTTAAAACATGATAATAATTTTTTATTAGTATAAATTGAATTACTTATTCATCATTAAGTATATATTTATTTCAAAATTTTACTTTAGAAAATACTTAATGTCTACATCTTATATTTAACTTTTTTAATCAACCCGTGTAATACACGGGGCTCACACCCAGTACTTTATAAAAAACATTATGTTGTTACATTTGGTCGGAAACTTTTTAGTGTCATCCTTATTCAAATTTTCTATGTCCGCCACTGATTTTGAGCATTGTTAGGGTTTGACCTCTATATTTTTTTATGTGGAATTTCACATATTAGCCATTAGGCTCGTATCATTTCAACGAGATTTGGATAAAGATAGAACATAAACCTCAAAAATGTGATCTTATGATTTATGATTGGAAAAACATAAGATTTTGTTTTTCTTTTCGAAACGGTTGAATTTTTTAAAAGAAAAAACTAGCTAAATGCTAGAAAAACATAATAAATCAAAACGGTATAAAGTGTATCTTGTAATTATTTTTTAGGATCGTGTCCTTATAAAAATTATTTTTGCCAAAAACACCCTTTATGAGAGGGTTTCATTATGTTTTTCGTCATATCTATTCTAATAAATGAAGAGTGTTTTTTTTACCACATGTTACATTCTCACTTAATTTGCTAAATGTTATTTTCTTTTTAATTAATTTTTTCCACGTGTCATTTTATTGGTTTTTTTTTATTTATTAAATTTTACATAATATTTTAATGTAATGATTCCAATAAATGTATTAATAAATAAATATCAATTTCATTAACAGACTTACCTTCTAATTTTAAAATTCCCAAATAAGCTTATTAATTTCTTTTCTTTATTTCTTTAAATTATTTGTTTAAATTTAAAATATAAAAATCATTTTAATTTTAATAATTCATTATTTTTCATATTTTCTTATAAATTGAAATTTCTCCAATATTTATACTTTTATATATAACTTTTTTTAATTAACACATATAATACATGTGTCTAACAACTAATATCATATAAAACTAGAATGAGGACCGGTTAGAAATTCTTTGTTTTTTTGTTTGTTTGTTTTGTTTTGTTTTGTTTTTTTTTTTGTAATAAATTATAATAGAACATATTTATGTTTATTTGATTTTGGTCTAGATCTCGTCATACATCTAAATACAATCTTTATTTCAGCTGGAAAAAAATCGAAATCAACAAAAAAAATAAAAACATCACATCTTTAATTCAACCACAACACCCTTGTTTCTAGTCAGCTTCGAAGATTTTCGATGTGCGTTTGACATCTATAAAAGGAGAAAATAGTAATTTGATATGCAATATTATGCCAAGGGTATCATGGTAATTTACATCATAATGGTCTCTTGAAGAATAAACATTATCATTATATCTCTTCTCTATGTACATAGATGTCTAAAACACAAAGCTAAAAGGGCAGTAAGTGCAAAACTCGGTCAAGGAAAAAAATTACCTTATTTAGCTCTACTTTCATAAGGGTATATTTGTAAAATTTTGGTAGTGAGGAACCTTAAAAGGTAAAACTCTCCCTTAATTTCTTGATCTCATCTTCTTGGCCTTTTGAGTTAAAAACATTGGTATTTGAGACATTTCATTGATTATCACCTCCTCCTTTCTTTTATTACCATTTGTATAACCCAATCATTGGAATGAAACAAATGGAATATTTTTAACCATGTTATATATTTGTAGAACTAAATGCTATAAATGGA